CAGCGAAGCCCTGTGAGAAGGAGAAGGGCTGGAGCCTGAACACGCTGACTTCAGCCGTTGTCTCCTGGAGGCTTTCTCCCTCCTTTAACCTGTGTTTAATCTGTTTTAAATTAACTCGTTGGCTTGTTCTATCACAAACATACCTGTTGTTCACAGCCCTAGTGAGAACTCTGCGTATTTTAAAATAAAAATTGAGGATGTTTAGCTCTCTCTGCCTCTGTCTTCTAGCACAACAGAACTTACTCAGAGGTGCTGCTTTAGGGCACCACGTCTGGCGTGTACTGTGGACTTAAGATACTTGATTATGTTCTGGAAATATCTTCCCCTTTTCCTTCTTGTAGGTTTTAATCTTTTTATTCTTCCCCTTCACCTCCTGCAGTCACCTTCGGCAAAGGGCACGGAATGATCGTGTGTCAGTGCCGTTCTAATAGAACTGCAGAGATTTACTCCTTGCTTCCTACTTGGTGTTCGCTCATGCAGTACGGAAAGGCAGGCCTGACCTCGACCTGTTGATTTATGTACGTGGCAGTATTAACTCTGCAGGCTGCGGGGCTGCGTTTTAGTGTTGTGGAGAAATTGCATTAGAAGCAAAGTACAGTTAGAGCTTAGGAAGTTTTACGTTACTTTGTCCTGCTTTATGTTTTTATTCTTTCACTTTAAATTCCATTAAGGCTTTTGCCTTCCTTAAAGCATCTGTCGCACAGCTAAATCTTTCTGCACTAAACCCTTCCTTTGAAAGAATGATAAATTTAACACGTTTGAGGCTTAACGGATGCTTTGTTCAGTCGTACTGCCTTGTTATACTATATTCCTGTGAAACTTTCTGAGTTGCTACCTTGCGGGGGCTGCTGGCCTCAAAGGACTTTGTTCCTAACTTTCCCTTGTCACTAAACACTTCTGGGCAGAGGGTAACCTGCATAACAGAGCATGTGGACAGAAATGGCATCTCATAGTACACCTGAACTATGTCGTCTCCAAGCGTAGCTTTGTCGCAGCCTTTCGCTCTCGTTCAACGTACGTAACTACGTGGTGTCCTCCCTAAGACATGAGGTTACTAGACTGCCCTGAATGCAAAAGAGGACAACAGGAGATAAACGAGTGATATAATTAAGCACTTTGTCTATTCCCAGGTATCTAAGCAAGTCTCTCTATTCAGAGACTTGAATTTTTTTCAAGAGCAATCTCCTTTAAATAAAACAAAATGGAAGTATATTTAAGTAAAGTGATGCAATTAATACTTACAATGATTTTAATATAGCTATTTCATATTTTTAAAGTTTAACTGATTTTGTTGGTAGCTGCTAATATTTTTCTATGGCAGAATTCTATCGATTGAGTTCTATTTTGTCTCACTTCAATTTTCTAGCTGTCTATTCGTAAGAACAGTCAACATAAAAAGGTAACGAACCAGGACAGTCACGCAGTGCGATCGGCGAGGCTGAAGCGTAACTGCTGCGCAGGTCCCGTGTTCTGGCCTTGCAGCGAGTGTTTCGGTCAGAAATTGCTTTCCCTCCTTTCCACCCACTCTGAAGACAGCCTCCGAAGGGTGCCGGCTTGCCCGTGGGATGCTGCACGTGGAGAAATAACTGTCACATGTCGTGGGCTAGGCATTTGGGGGTTTTTCTTATTTTTTAGGGAAGAAAACCAACAGCATTAATAGAGTTCTAGTTTGTCTTAATTTCTCAGTAGAAAATACAGATACAACAAACAGCCCTGGCTAAGCCTGAAAATAGGCCATAAAATCCTGAATTTTCAGCTTAAAAGAACTTCCTCCCTGGGCAGGGAACCTGTTTGGAACTCAAATCAGTTTACCCTGGAACTCGGCGCTCCTGATGATGGCCATGTTTCCGATCTATTCTATAATTCACCGTTGTAATTAAAAACCTGTATTGAAGTTGCTCCATTTCCCTTCCACATGGACGCTGTTGCATGTGGGCTAGAGGTTGTTCTGCCTTTCCTGAATTAATCTTCTACAAAAACTTGTCTCCCTGTGTAAACCTTACGCGGGAGGGACATCAAAATGTGGCTAACCCGTTATCTTAAACTGGCAATAAAAGGCCGTGGTGTATGTTCACTTCAGAAATGTTCTCTGTGTCTTCCAAGTGCAGAATCTGATGTAAATTTAAACTGGAATTTAAATCTTAATAGGTCAGGGTGTGCTTACTATGGTTTCTTTTCAAAATGTTGATTCAGAACATGAGAGAGGAAATGAAATGGGGGAGCCAGTGCCTGTGATGCCCGGTGGCAGTCAGGAGGTGCCAGCGTAAAAGGGCTTTTGCCCGATGCACGGGATACACGGAGCCTTGGGCTGAGAGAAAAAGAAGGTGCAAGTAGGGATACAGGCACTGATAGCTAAAAATACTATTTCAAAAGGCTCTAGAACACTCTAAAATAAACTAGTAAAATAATCCAGCACAAACCATTTAGAAAGAAGTGTCGTTTTAAAGTTCTCATTTCAGGACCTGTTTGGGCAGTGTTCTGTGTAATAAAGATGAAAACCCCCCGTTCCTGACGAAGCACTTGGAGCCTGACGACGGTTCAAGTGCCGTGTGAGACAAAAATAACAACCTCCGAGCGTCAGGTTTTCCATTCTTGCCGCACCAGGTGAATGGGTGGTTTTATGGAGCGCTCGCCCTGCGGTGGCAGGTTCTCATTTCAGGACCTGTTTGGGCAGTGTTCTGTGTAATAAAGATGAAAACCCCCCGTTCCTGACGAAGCACTTGGAGCCTGACGACGGTTCAAGTGCCGTGTGAGACAAAAATAACAACCTCCGAGCGTCAGGTTTTCCATTCTTGCCGCACCAGGTGAATGGGTGGTTTTATGGAGCGCTCGCCCTGCGGTGGCAGGGGAGGGGGGGGGGGGGGGGGGGGGGAGGGGGGGGGGGGGGTGCGGCGCGGGAGCCGAGTCAATACCCGACGTTGTTGGACGGCTGTCGGTGCTTGGAACGCGAGGGTTGGCTGCGTTAGCGCTGCCAAGTATTAGCTAAGTGTGCTGCCTTGGCAGCAGGTTCTCGGAACGTCCTTTTTACAAAGAGGGAGAATAAGTTCATTTTAAAAAGAACAAAAATCTATAAGGGCAGTTATTTTGAGGGCCGCTTCAACACTCGCCCTCCGTTTCTGCAACTTCTTAAGCAGCTTTCTAGTCACGTGTTTAGAACCAAACAGACTTTGTAATTTTGTTGCTTATTTTTTCCTTATTTAGGACTATTTTCCTTTTTAAGTTGCAGATAATGTTTACAAAACTCTTCTAAGTTTAAAAGCCCCTTGCAGTCTAAAGTATCTTTTCAGTCGAGTTTGGTGAAACACGCACTGTGGACTAAAGTGCATTCACTTCTACAGCCTTAAAATAACCAGGTGCCTTACTCACCTCTCTTACTCCAAGCGCCTGTGGAACCTCATTGTATGTACTTGTCTGTTGCATATGAGCAACTTACTACTGTGGCACCTCTCACTTCCCAGAGTGTTTATTTCTGTGGTCACCAGCAGCTTTAAATACAAACAAAAAAGCGTAGCGCTCCGTAGGCTGTACGGGAGGACTCAGGAGGGGATTTTTAGATGTGTATGTGAAAAAAATAATACAGCACCCTTCTCTTTGGAGCCTTTGTGTGCACCTGAAGGATCTGAAGCATTATAGGATGCAAAGTCCTTGCTGACTAAGAGGAGGAGGGGACACACGGAGCAGTCCCAGCCAGTGACTGCCAGTGGCGTGTCACCACAACTACAGGTTTGTGTGCAGCCTTGCAAGGCCTGGCCGTACCTCAGCACGAGTGCTGCTGCGGGTTTAATCCTGCGGGCACCTGAACGGCACGCGCTCGCGGTGGGAGAGCTGCAAGGCTGCCTGAGGAACAGATGGATTACTGGAGGAGGCATGCCAGCAGACCAGCTGTGGAACTGAGCCTGCTGTTCTTGCCACGGAAACGGAATGCCAGTGGAGTATGTCTCTGGTTGAGCCTTTCGGCTTTAGCTGACCAGACTGGGATTCTGGTCGCGGCCCCAGCACCTCGTTCAGGCCTCTGGCTGAGACCTGGTAACTCTCTGCAGCTCTGACTGGGTGGCACACACCTTCAACGACTCTCCTCGGCAGGATGTTGCAGCCTCCCAGGCAAGGCTGGCACACGCTCGGTGTGTCAGTGCCCGCGTGAGGGAGGGAGCGGGATGATGTGGCCATCTGTACCCAGAGCGGATGATGTGGCTGTCTGCGTACAGGGCAGGACCGCAGCCACACAGTTTACCTTGGTTTGCACACAGAACCACACCCAAAGGATTGGGGTGTTTTCCCTCTACATCCTCCTGCAGCGCTAGGAAACAGTGCAGCTTTCAGCTGCTGGTGGCTGAGAGTGAGCTGTGTAACTCTGTGCTGGAAGGGAGCAGAGCGTCCAGGCGGGTTTAGGAGCTGTTGAGAGGATGCTGAGAGATGTGCTGCTGCTTGGCTGTTAGCTCCTGCTGCCAGTCGGGCTGTAATCACGGATAGAACAGCACGGGAAACTATGGGTGCACGTACCAGATCTGGTTTAGCAGGAGTGCTGTGAATGAATGCGAAAGGTTACCAGGGTAACGCTGAAGGTGCAGTTAGTTAATAAACACTGAAGTTCAACGTTCAGACTGCAAAATGGAGAGCAGCTCTTGGGACAGTAACGCCTGTCTCTAGTCTTGTGTGCTGTTGTCTGACTTGGCAAGAGAAGAGGCTGTTACTAAATCAATATGAGCTGCTCTGGAGAGAAGGAAGTATTTATTTTGTCTGGCATTCCATGTCTCTTTTGCATAATAATGTATGATTAATTATTCTTCTATCACTTAGGAGCTGCTTGGTCTGTTTGTGGCCAGTTCTAGCTAGTTACTTATTTAAACTGCTGTGATGAGCTAGAGCAAGAAATTCCCTATCCCTCTTAAATATATTCTTGTTAATCAATACCGTAGTTGAATATATGTTATTACTGCCCTTTGTTAAGTACCTTCAGAACTCTGTGAAAGAAACAAATCCAGCTGTATGTTTACCAACAGGCCAAGTTCTCATAGAAATTTCAAGAACACACAAGAAACTTAATGACAGTCTAGAGGAGAGTGTAAGTTAAACAGTTTCTTTATAAATTTATCTTCCTTTTAAAATTGTAAACTACTTCTGCCAACTTTTAATAACCCTTTATTCATTTGCTTTTAAAGTTCAAAAAGTTTCATAAAGAAATCATATCTGAACTGGAGAAGAAAACAGACCTGGATGTAAAATACATGAATGTAAGTACCTTCAGTTCTGAAGTCGTATTTATCTATTCCTAATCCTAGTGCTTTTTAGCCACTTACCCAGTTCCGTGGCTGAGTGCATCATGAGATGTTTAAATGCTTTGATTGCAGGCGACTTTAAAGAGGTACCAAACCGAACACAGAAGCAAATTAGATTCTTTAGAGAAGTCTCAGGCTGAGCTGAAAAAGATCAGAAGGAAAAGCCAAGGAGCACGAAATGTAATGAAGTACGAGCATAAAGAAATGGAGGTCAGTCTCTTATTTGTGTCTTTCTTTGTGTGAGAACTGGTGAGAAGAAAACGTTGTGCTGTTGCAGGTCACGAGTGTTTGAAACTGGACTTCCGAAGCTTACGGCAGTGTTACTGGTGACCGCACGCAACTCCTCTGCGGGTTGTTTGGCAACAGTTAAACTCTGCAGACACGAGGTTTTGGCTGGCTTGTGTTAAAGCCCCCCCGAGCATGTACTGCAGTTGCAATGAAGCTCTGGGCTGCTCTGCTGTACAGACACCCCTCCTTCCCTTTCTAGCTTTCCTCCCTTGACTGCTGCTTGATTTTCTTTTGGTTTTCCTTCAAAGTACCTCTGTAACTGCACCTTGATGCAGAGGTTTACGCGGGCAGGCAGCTATGCTAGGCAGAGTCGGTAGTAACTTGCTATAAATTCATTTCCCAAAGTAGCCAAATGCCAACTTCTGGCATTACCGTGTACTGATCCTAAACCAGCATCGCCATCTTCAGGCGAAATAAGAAATGGCAAGGCAACGAAAAGAAACCGGCTGGTAAGTCACAGTGCGGTTGTCATGTGTCTCTCAAAATACTTGTCTTTGATACTGTGATTTCGTGGTAGCTTATATATTTTTTTTTTTCCCTCTGTATTTTTTCTAATTTAATTTTCTTTCCCAAGAAAGCCTTGTTTGTAACACGGAGCAGTGAGCATAAATAGTACTGGCACCCATTCCTTACAACCTGTCTCTTCCTACCAGGGTTGAGGGGTTGGTTTGCTGTTAAGGTACTGGACTGAGAAGTCAAGGGTTAGCATTTAATCACGGTTTCAGCATGAATTCTCATAACCTCAGACGAATACAGTTTAGTTTTTTCAGTAACTGTTTTTTCCCTCTCTCAAATGACGCTGGGATTCATCGCAGGCTGTGAGAGTCGGGTGAAGGTACAGGGCTGCGGAGAGCGCCTGTGGCCTTCAAATGGCTCAGCACCGCTGCTGCTTTGACGGCCTGTTCTACTGCAGCGTTGGATGTAGAGGCCAACAGTCTGCTCCTCGTTGGGCTTCACTTCCCCCAGCCCCTCAGGGGTGTCTGTAAGGAGAGGACACCCTGCCCTGGCTGAGATGGGGGTAGTGGGGTGTGGCACGAGAAGACTTGGGTGTAAAGCCACCCGACCCCACGCTGCCTGTGGGAGCTCTGCGGCAGGCTGTCGGAGCTGGCTTCAGGAGTTGGACACAGTATGGAGAACACCCAGAGGCTGCCTGTAACTGTTCTCTCCTCCCCCCGCAGTACTTGGAAACGGTGAGCTCTCGCCAGAGCGACATTCAGCGGTTCATCGCGGAGGGCTGCAGAGAAGCTCTCCTTGAGGAAAAAAGGAGATTCTGTTTCCTGGTTGACAAGCACTGCAGCTTTACCCAGCACATGCACTTCTATCACATTCAGGTCAGTGGCACGAGTGTAAAGAGCAAAGACACTCCTGAGGTCGAATGATAGAGTCTCTGAAGAGACTTCCATTCTGCTGGTGTGTTTTGGTATCATGAAAACTAGCAAGTAGGTCTGTGCCATTTTATGAGAAAGTGTATCTTTGACAAGTACCTTTTAAACTTGGATGCAGTGTGCGGACTTCCTAAAATCCAAGCTGCCTGGGTGGCAGGAAATCTGTAGCGATGCCACCAAAGTGCCTGAGAAAGTCAGAATGATGATAGACGAAATAAGGACACCGAGCTCCACCCCAGTATCAGGGACTCCGCAGCCTTCGCCCATGATAGAGAGAAATACCATGGTAAGTTCTTCTTTGGCTACAGGTTCTCTCAGATGAGGGTAAAGTGGCTTCACCAGCTTCTTGGGTACCTGAGCACTTGCGATCGAGTCTACAGTGTCTTGACAGAACACGGGGTAACGGGTTTAAATTGAAAGTGGGGAGGTTTAGATTGGATATCAGGAAGAAGTTCCTCACGGAGAGGGTGGGGAGCACTGGGACAGGTTGCCCAGAGAAGCTGTGGATGCCCCATCCCTGGGAGTGTCCAAGGCCAGGCTGGATGAGGCTTGGAGCAACCTGGTCTAGTGGAAGGTGTCCCTGCCCATGGCAGGGGGGTTGGAGCTAGATGATCTTTAAGGTCCTTTCCAACCCAAACCACTCTGTGATTCTGTGACTGTGTGATATAGCAGGGCTGGGTATGAAAGCAAAATCCTTAAGCTGAAACTCTGCTACTAGAAAAATACCCAGTTAGTACACAGAGAAGGCACAGTGCTCAGGTGCAGAGCCCAGCCGCAGAACTACTTTTGTTCTACCTGTTCCTTTTCCTACGTTCTTATCTCTAAGTAATAGTAATTCTATGCTCAGATCAATATAAACTTAAACAAAATGTTATTTTTTATTTTCTTTCCCTCTTCCTTCCTCCCTTCCTCATTAGCATATTGGAGTACAGGTTAAATTCTACCTATTTAAATGTTGTGTCACCATTACTTGTTGAATCTCTACGTGATACTAGTAAAAAAAAACCCTGGAGATTTTCTAGGTGTAACTGCTATTAATGGGGAGAAGGGTTATCGTAGCAGTCCCACTAACAAACGTTTATCGAGGGGCAGAAGCCTCTTACAGATTATTCTGTCAGCAATCTCTTAGGAAGATGAGGACTTTCTGATGAGTCTTAATATGTAGCATTTGGGAACATCTAAGCACTGCTTTCTAGAACTTAACGCTGCAAGTAAACTGTCACTGTCTTCTCCGTGTTGTGACGCTTGTTCTTGTGATCCCAGATTGGAAGTGACTTCTATGCTCATCATGAAAACGCATCAAAGGTGCCCCCCGCTCCCGCAGGCAGGGCGTACACTAGCCCGCTAGTGGATATGTTCAACAACCCGGCAGCGGTCCCCAAGACATCTTCTGACAAACCGAACAGCGCGGCAGGTGAGTCGCTGCTGCAGACGACCTCCGTGACGCGTGACCGTGGTCAGAGTTACCTCAGGGCTTGAGCACGGAGAAGTCAGTGCCAGGACGTGCAGAGGAGCGGCCTCTGGAAGCTCCGTGCAGAGTAGTTACGTAAGCTACCTGACAGGAGACGTGTGCTGTGAGAACTGTTTGCCGTAAAATGCAGGTCAGGATAGGTGGATTCTATTTGAATCACTCTGTGTGTCCCTGATGAACCCGGCTCGGCTGCTCTCCAGACTCCCCCTCTGCTCAGAAGCACACGGTCTGTCGTCCCGCGAGGCAGGTCTGCGTGGGTGTGTGAGTGCACACAGTCAGCGTAAGCTGCTGCTGCAGTCTTGCCCTGGTTTCCTCTCGGGGCCTGGAGCAGGGCACGAAGAAGGATGCACATGGGGCAAAACCAGCGGTTGCTCGAAATGTACAATCCTATTAAGATCCATTTTCTACGTTTCTAATACACTGAGTTTTACTTTACTTTTTTACATTGAGCGTTTTTCATGCCGAAGAGGGAAGAAGTGGCAAGTTGAAGCTCGCATCACTCTGTGTCTGCTGGCTCAACTGTATTGCGACGGGGGGGGGTACATTAATACATGTGCACGGGCTGTTAAGGACTTTGTGGTGGTGAGAAACATCAGCAGGTAATTAAGAGGTGTCTGAGCAGAAACCAAAGCAGTACAAAGCCTCAGAACTGCCTTTGCACATGAGTATTCCTTTACCTACTTTTTCCTGTCAGACTGCTGATTGTATTCAACTTCATTACCACGTGGCTAATTTTACCTTTTTTTTTGTTGTTGTTGTCTTTTGACAGAGAATTCGGATGATGCCAATTTATCGCGTTCAACTTCTGTTGCCACGGGACTAAACATAATGAAAAGGCAAAAAGTAAAGACAATCTTCCCACATACTGCTGGAAGTAACAAGACGCTGCTCAGCTTTGCGCAGGGGGATCTCATCACGCTCCTTGTCGCTGAGGAAAAGGACGGCTGGCTGTACGGGGAGCACGACTCGACTAAAGTGTAAGACAACCAACACCTTACCCAGTCTGAACATGACGGAAAAACCTGTCTCATCAGGTTTTGTAGCAGATGTTAGTCAGTGGTTTTCCACCTTTTTTGCTGGCTCTCGTTGCCTGGACACTCGGAGCCTTTCACTTGTTTTAAGGAGATTTTGTACACGAATTTGATCACCATCAGAAATCGGGTCTTCAAAAGCTGAATCTCAGTTCATTGACTCTGCTCTTGTGTCCACTCTTGTCTTTTGAAAGATCTTCCCGATCTTATATAAACTGAAACTCTCCCGTTACAGAAAAGGATGGTTTCCGTCATCGTATACGAGGCCACTAGAAGAACCAGCGGAAGAAAAAGCGTTTGTGCCAGTGCCAAGGTACGTTTTGGGTGGGACTCGCAGAAATGCCCCCGTTTTCTAACACCTACAAGAAGCGCTGTCCTTCTGCTCACGCTCTGTGATTCAGTAAGGGGCACGGTAATTGCTGACAGCGGGATGCCGGGATGCCATGAGCGTGTGTTGATGGCTACGCGAGACCCAGGGACCAGCTTCACCCCGGCTCTGTCACTGAGCCCCACTGGCCGCAGCGGGACTGCGCGCCTGCCTTCGCTTTCAGCCCGCGCGCGTCTCTGCTTTCGCGGGCTAAAGACGGGAGTTGTGTGACGGGAACTGAGTGTTGGGTTTGCCCTGCAGCCCTGCGCCAATCCGAAGTATTAGTTCTGTCAACCTTGTGGAAAAAGGTGATGTGGTCCTCCCGCCGCCGGACTACCTGGGGTCTTCACAACCAGACAAAAGGACGGAGCCTTCCAAAGGTACCACCGTTAAAACACCAACCGACAGAGCAGAAAACGCAGGCCCGGTAAGTCATCGACACCACGAATCCGAACGTTCTGCCCTGCTCACTTTTCCTACCCCGCCTAACCGAGCTCTGCAGTGAGGCCCTGGAGTAGCCTACCTTAGCGACTCCCGCTGTCCGCAGCAGCCGGAGTTCCATGCAGCTCTCCTCAGGAGTGTCGTGGGGTTTTGGCATTTCAGTCCCTCTGCAGTAATAGGAAGGGAGAATCGTTCAGGAATATAACTGAGAGTACGAGGAGACTTCCTCTGCATAGGAAGCTTCTCAGGAATGGAGTCTGTGCAACGTGAAGATAAATTATCACAGAAAGATGTGGAAATCCACCATCTTCAGTGGTTTTCGAGCTATAGTGGAGCAGGGGATCGAAAGCACCATAAACCCTGGATTCAGGAGTGCTTTACGCAACCCCGTGGAAGTCAGTGCTGGCTCTGTGGACGTTGCTGGGGGACGTACACTGACTAACGTCTGCATTCAGCGAAAGACAGCTGAACGGAACTGCTTTTATGAACACGGGGCTGTGCAGAGCCAGTGCTGCTGCTGAGACCGTTCGGAGGGATTCAGAATGAAGACGAATCTAACCAGTTTAAGCAATTACTAGTCTCTTCCTTGCTGCTTGTTTCAGTAAGAGTTTTGCTGAGCGGTACCCAATGGTGATAGATGCCTTTGCTTCAAGAGGCCTCTGAAGAAAGTCCCAGATCACATTTTAATGGCCAAAAATTTGGTGTTATTATATATATAAAACAAGGTTGTCGCTGCTAAAATTGAGAGACTGCACCAGAGTACGATGCAGAGTTCCGTCCGCAGGTACCATCGCAAACTCCCCAGAGGTCAGGAATCCTACAGTTGGCTGCCAGTAGCTAAAAAACTTATATTTTATTATTTATCAGTGTGACTAAAATATTCTGCGTATCAGTGTAACATCTAAGCACGTTTTGGGTTGTCCTGACAGATGCTTTTGCTTTCTAAGTAATCTGAACTGTTCTACGCATTTCAGAGTCATGGAGAAAGGACTTGAACAAATGTGAGGAAAGGAAATTCTATGAATCCTCTTTGCTGAGTAAACAGTGTGTCTTCAAAGACACTGCTTTGGTATCACATCAGACTTGTGTCTGGTTCTTAAGAGAACAGGTCACCTCAGCTGTACAGGTACAAAAATGTGGAAAACTGCTGGGGGTTCAGCCACACAGGCCTTCCAGGCATGTTCCCCCCTTGTTCCTGCCTTTGTAGAGCCACTCTACAGCGATTTCAGAGGAGCAGCTACAGACAGCAGGGAGACACTGCCAGCTACTGCCAGCCTGTCTCCTGCAGAGGCAGAAACGGAAAGAAAAAGTATCTGCTCTCTGGCTGGGAGGGGCAAAAAGGCTGGTGCTCTCCATGAGAAACCTGTGTTCCTTAAAATGCCCATGGAACTAGGAGCAGAGCTGAGCCTCCCATAACAAAAAGGGTAAAAGTGGCTTGACAGGGACTTGTGGAGCTCTCCTCTCAGAGCTCTTGCCCCATTTAGACTAGACTAGTAAGGGCTTGGGGGGTTTTATCTAAATATTCCTATTGAAAGATTAGCTGATGGGTTTTTCAGAACCGTCGGACGTTGCATGTGTCTATTTGCATGCCGCGTACCCGACGCCACATGCGAGGAAGTGGGTTTATTTCTCGGCAGTGAACCTGCTGTGCAGGAAGCACAGCACCTGCGCAGAGATGCTGTTTCTAGGACAACCTGTTTCTGTGAGGAACACAGCTTCTCCGGCGCCTGAAACGAGTAGCAAGAACGAAGGTGTAAATTGTAGCGTTCAGTCACTTTCAAATCACGGATCTGGGAAGGTCTAGAACCGTTATGAAGATAAGCACCTGTGTGGGTCTCGGTTTTGGATAAAGAGGCAGTGACGTGCACTGGTTCGTCTGGTCTGTGGCGAGCTGTGGATCAGCCTGTCCTTCCAAGCTCTCACGTTCGCAGCGGTTAAGAGATGGATCAGCCTGTGGAAGCCGCCAGGCCAGCAGCATGGCAAGTTCTGTGCCCTGGGACAAGTAAAAGGTGACTTCGTGTAGAGCTGAAAAGTACTGAGCCTGCCGAGCGGCCTCGGTGTGACCGTGCTGTGCTGCTGCCTCTGGTGTGGCTCCCTGCTTCTCGGCCTCCCCCCTAGCTCCTGCGAGCAAAACGAACTGTCCAGCTGAAACCGGCCCGCCACCCTCAGCCGGACCTCATCCTTAAGGTTGTCCTGCGGCATCAGTTCAGGGGTGTTAGCAACAAACTTACGGCTTGTGGGCGGACATTCTCACTGACCGGAAGAGCCGAGAGGATCCTTCAGCTGACAGACCAGGCAGAACTCCAGTTAGAATAGTCTGTGCTCCTTGGAGGCCAGAATGGAAGCGTCTAGCGTCTGAGGGGCAGAAAATGAATACATCATTTTGAGGCTCTAAATTTCCACAGGGAAAGCAAGATTAAAAAGAAAACAGGAATTTTGGAGTATAAAATGATGAACACTCCTGCTGAGGCACCCCGTATCTCATAGCAGCTACTGTGACCCCATGGGTCTTCTCACCTGTTGGCATGCAAACCAGGGAGAGAACTGCAGAGTCGCTGCGCTTTCGCCCAGGTGGTGTGCTCTGAAGTCACTATTTCCTTTCATTCTTCTGGCAAGATGCAGCGCTTCCTTGTCCTTCCCGCTTCTGTGCAAGTGCCCAGCCCCCACAGCAGCGTGAGGCTCGGGAATCCAGCCTGGCATTGCACCAGGCGGGTCTGTAGACTGGTGCATACGTGAGATCAGCAGGCTGCAGGGTCTTCTGTGCAGAAGCAGGAAATGATTCATTGAGGCACCTCCTTTTTGTTGCAGAATACAGAGGGAAGTAAAGCTCAGGGTTTGAGCAGGAAAGATGAGGAGAGGCTCTCACAAGTCCCGTTGTTCGTGCTGCGTTCCGTAGGGCAGTGCTGTGCAGAGCAGTAGCAACGAGCAGAGCCTTGATGGAGCTTGGAGGGTTGGTGTTAGCACGTAGCATGGCATTCAGGCATTCAGCCATTCTGATTTATTTTAAGGCCTAATTAATTAGGCCTAATTCTAAGGCCCAAGTCCATTGACAACTGATGTAGGGTGAGCAATTTCACTGGAATCACAAGTCTGAAGAACCCTGCTGAGCTGGATCCTGAACCGAGCTCGCTCGCTTCACCTGCATCCCGGTACAGGGAGCGTGGTAGCCAGGACTACTGCCCCAGCAGGCGGTGTGCCTGAACACAGCCCTGTTCAGCAGTGACACTTTAAGGACTGAAACCGAAGCGGCCCTGCAGACGGAATGATTAGCGCAAGTCAAGCTGCGGCATAAAAGGTGACGGCATGTTCCTGCTTCTGCATGCAAGAACGTGCGCTCAAAGGGTCACTTGGGACTTGGCCTGACACCCCTCCGAAGCACTGCACTTAGCCTGCAGTTTCAAATATGCCATTAAGTGTGATTATTACTAAGAGGTGAGGGGTGGAGGAGAACGTAACTGTTTGCCCAGGCTTCGACATGGCACTTGCGAAGGGTAATGCTCTGCAAGCGTTCCGTTTCACCCCCGCCCCCGGGGTACGGGACCTCCTGGCAGGGCAGCACCCGCCGGAGGGCAGGGCAGGCTGCGCCCGTAAAACCCACCCACCGTCTGCGCTGAGCCCCGCGCTGGCGTTTTGCTGACGGGGAGCAGTCCCAGACTGCGCTGCAGGAACAGCGTGCGGGTGTACCTGCTGCGAGTGGTTCTGTCCCTTCTCCCCTGGTCCATGGCTGTTGTTTGGTGTTTAACCTATCAAATGCCAGCTCGACCTCAGGCCATCGCGGATCTTAAACCTGGGAGGGGGAGGATGGACACATCACGAAAAGCCAGATAGCGCTAACACTGTTGTTTAACTTTCTAATCTTGATGTTCTGAGAGAATTCTCTCCTCCACAAGTTCCCCTCTGTGCTTCAGCTGAACAGGATCATTATACTGACTGGCTTCAGCGCCGGGTCTCGTCCGCGGCCGGACAGCGAGCTCCCGAGTAGCTTGTTTCTGTACATCCGTGTAAATACCGTCTCTTTCTCTTACAGAAACCTGATACGAATGGCATCATAAAACCACCTTTTCTGAGGTATATTTTTTAAAGCTTTTTACACTCATGTAGTAGTACTGATTTTTACATTGGCTTTTATTATTGTATTGATTGTGAGGGGAAATAAGGATGTATTTCCTGAATTGCTGAGACCTTTCCTTGACACTGGCAAAACATAATGGCTAAAATTGGTCGCATTTCTCTCAGGAGCGGTATCAAATGGCATCAGTGCACAGGCCCTGCTCAGGAGAGTGTTTCTCCAGCAGTGGGACAGAGAATAGCATTTACACTGTCTTTGGTGCTTAAAACCAAAACTCTTTGAAGACTGGGAACTGTCTTTAAAAAAAGCCCAGACCTAACGGGGCCCAGGTTTTGGATCAGTGCAAAGCTGAGCCTTCACATGCTTGTTTTGGGAATTCAAGTTAAACTCAGAGTTGGACAGGGGCTTTCAGTCCAAAACCCTACCAGCCTTCCAGCGGCTGGGCTGAAGCAGCTGCGTGGCTTAAGGTCGGTCCCGTAGCCCAGCACGCCTTGAGTAACTCTGCCTTTCTCTGCAGCGGAGAAAATCCTTTTGCGACCGTGAAGCTCAGACCAACAGTAACAAACGACAGATCGGCACCCGTCATCCGGTGAGCGTGCAGCCCGGAGACGGGTACGTCCTCCTTGCAAACGCCATCTGCAGCAGCCACAGCTGCCACCTGCACCTGCTCTAGAAACTTGTTTGGATCCTGTACAATGGCGTCATCCTGGAACGGCGTCTGGTTTGTGAAACCTGCACTTCCTAACGAGCTGGTTGCTTTGGGCTAATGTTTGAGCACTTTCTCTTGATTTTACAGTATGGCTTTTTTGTAGTAGAAATTGTGAGAATACGGGAGAGTTTGGCTACTTTAGTAAAGCAGTGTAACAGATAGCTCACCAATCTGGTCTTTGGCATTCGTTGTTTGGAACCTGCAATGGTAAGTTCTAGCGTGTAAGCCTGCGTATGCCACCTACTTGGTAAGATGATTTTTTTCCCCAAACAGAACAGTATAACTGCCTTATTTCAGGATAGAGAATTGCCTGTATAAAGTGATTATACATTATTTTGTTTATCAAAGACACCCTAGGTTATAAATAAATATTTATCCTTTAAGAATAGACAATTTGTAATGCTTTGCTTAATGTTCAGCTACAAGTTTTCAAGTGTTAAGATAAATGTATTTTAATTATAACATTGTACTGTCAACATACCCTTCAATGGTAACTCTTTCTCTGAAACACCCTGTCAAACTTCAGTCTTATAAAAAGTTGTAATAAAAGACTGCCACGATTTTTTCCTCCAGTGCTAACATGAAACGCTGCCGTTGAAGTCACTCCGTTACTGCAGCCCTCCACAAAAGAAAACAGATTGAGTTTGACGACACTTGGTTGAGGAGCCTGGCAATGCTGGCACCATTCGGTATCTGAGTTAAGTGAAATACAGCTTTTAACTCTGTCCCAGCCAGCGTTGCACAGTGTGTTACCTCAGGCTTGGATTTTCTAAGTCCAGTGGAGCTAGGTAGTCTGAAATTCAGACTTTTCCTACGATAATAATCATCTCCAAAATACAGCAGGACTGTTAGATACTGACCCTCGCTCTGTGTCAGCCCTGGCTGCTGTCATCCCCGTACAGCTCAGGTGCTCTTTCCCACCGGCGGTGTGCATTCTGTACCGCTGGAGACTAATCCTTCCTCTACATCATTCTACTGCACACGCTTCCTGCCGCATCCTGGGGCTGTTCATTTGGTTGTGCCTGCTTCACCAAGTCATGTGAAATGCCTTCCAGTTACTTAATATCAAAAAATAGTACCAGAGCATGTGATGGCTGCAGAGGTGGAGTCCTGTCCTTCACTCCTCTCTCCCTGCCTGTCACCTTCAAGGCTCAGGACACCACTGCCTGTGGGACCTTGCACAGAGAACCATTATCCCCTTTAGAAACTCCAACTCTTCAGAAGTGTAACCGACACCTGAGCCCGCTTCCTAAAGCACAGAAGGTAAGTCAGCCCGGACTGCCCAAGCTCTCAGTGATTCAGTATCAGACATAAATAACGGGAAGCGCACACGGAGCAGTGCCCCAGCCTCTCCGACTCGAGCAGAGCACGCTGCTGCCGGCCGGAGTCACGCTGCATGGTGGCAGGGAGCTGCCACTACTGTGCTTGGAGGTCATGTGTGTCCCTGTCAGCAAATCCTTCCCTCGGGGCCCTTGCTGATCATCTGTTCCTCCTGGTGCTTCAGGAGACAGAGGGGGCCACTGGCAGGGCAGCAGCACACACACAGCACTGCCACCACTTCCCTCAAAAGCATCTGACATGCTGAGACAAGTACAGCCCTAAACCATCTTTTTTTTTTAATATAAGGATTCTGGCAAATATGCCCTAAACCATTTTTTTTTTTTTTTAAATATAAGGATTCTGGCAAATACCTCTCCTTCTTTGCAGCTAGAATTACGCACTCCACTTTCAGGCTACAAGTTACCAGACACATTAGTCATTTCTTAATAATCCAGCCACAAGTTGAGGATTGCAAAAGGAAAAGCAGTTTTATTTAGTTGTCAACAGGTGCCACTAAACATGGAAAACAAGTTGGGTTTTCATGTTTTGCAATGCACATGCTCGTAAAAGATTAAGTTTAAATTACATGCAAGAGACTAAGTTTCTTCACACTTTACAAAACAGGTCTGAAGCGGTAAAATGATTGTACATGACATTTACATTAGAAAGAGTACGCTAACAGTTGTACTTCCATAAGCACGTTCACCCCTTAGCCAAAAGCTGCCCCACAATTAGGGCATCTTCTCTGCCTCAGTGCAAGACAGGACAGAATACCAATTGGAAAGAACACAATGGCACACAAAACACCAAGACAGGTGAAGCTGTCCTCCAACACGCCAACCCTGTAAAAATGGAAAACAGACTCAGTCAAGGACACCCACCACCTTTGCCCCAAAGTTACCACTTAGTGACTGTCAGACCACAGAAACCCCAACCATTGTCTATAGCAAGATAAGGCACAAAGCTTGTGGTTCTCCTTTAGCAGGAACTTATGAAATAAGTTAGAGCAGAAGATTTTGAATTACACGACATAAAGAAACCCAGGGAATTTGCAGGTGATCAGGCTGTAGATAAGAAGCCTGGAAGGTTTAATTCAAACCAGCAGGTTAGTTCCAGACAGCAACCCTTTCTCTATCACTGCAGTCTGGGATAGCCACGGGGCAGGAAACACAGCCACCACACCTCTGAGAGTTGGTTCTGCAGCTCCTGGTCAGCATAGGCACACTGCAACACTCACCCCCGCCTGGCACCTGCCACGCGGCCCGCTCAGTCCCTAAAGCTCCAGCCAGAGCCGTGCCCTGCAGCCAGCTCGGGGCCCTAGCCAGCCCCGAAGTCACGGCGCGCCCGGGTTCCTGCAGCCCAGCTCGGCTGCCCTCGCCAACCGACACAGGAACGAAGGGACAGACCCTGAGCAAGTCTTTATTCCTTACTAGCCCTCCCTGGGGTCAAGTTTTTCTGTACAGGTGAGGATGCAGCTTTCTAGGGCTAAACTCAGCACCACTCAAGCGTACTCTCCTTAAAATGAGGCTGCTTTTAAAACAATTAACTGACTCTTCTGGAATGATTTTAACTGTGCCAGTGTTGGTTACACACCAACCAACTCTGTCCTCAGCCTTCAGGTCTTTAGCACAGGCAGCGTGCACACCTGGGTCACACGCTCTGCCCACCTAGTTTCCACAGTTACCCCGGGGTGAGCCCTCTCCATTCCTTCAACCCCAAGTCTCCCACAGTACATGGGCACTAGAGCTCTTGCAAAAAAAAAAAAAAAAAAAAAATCCTTGTTTTCGGAATGTTCTGATGATCTGGTGCTTTTTCTCAGCTCCTGCCCAGGAGAGAGGTTTGAACGGGCAGAGTTGTGTAATGCTGGTTAAGGGCTTCTGCTGCAACATGGGCTCACGATTTCGCTGAAGCACTGGTAGGTTTGGTTTAGTCTCACTGCAAGTTAACACACAGCTCAGCAGCGTCTGGTTCCTGCAGTTCGCAGCACGTTCTCCCAGACGTGCCGGCACTTCTTCAGTCCATACGACTGACGTGTGAAGGGCCAGGCGCACTGGGCATTTCGGGCTCTAAGTTAAAAGGATAAGGACTTTAAAATAAAATAAAAAAAAAAAAATCTAAGTGTATATTGACAGTGAGAGATACTTCAGGTGTCAGCACGTGGCTGTGGAAGGTGCCAGTTAAACAGGGGTGTACAGGACTACACTAACTCCTCACATCCAGACGCCCTGAGTCACCCAAACAGCTCAGAGGCGCAGCACTACCGTCACAAGCTGTTTAACAAGTTTATTTCTGGGAGCTAGAAAAGTCCAAGTGCCAAACACTCATCACTATTAAAATAACCCTCAGCAGGTATTTCTGGTTTCTACTTCCAAAAAACCTGACGTCCCTTTACAACTGTAGGACAACGTCCTATTGATGTTGCCTGTCTCCAGCCAAGTCCCTCCCGAATGACCACCCTGCAGGAGAAATCCTTTCGGCACAGTTCTGCGACAGCAGTTTACCTGAACAGACACCT